TTTTCTGGGATTAAACAAAGCATCATTAACTTTTATTTCTATTAATACTATTTTCAAGCTCAGTAAACATAAGGAAGGCAAAGAGAATGTAATATATTTATATAAATACTAACAGAGCATCCATACTTTACAAACATGTTTCTACAAGCATTTTTGATAATATGTCTTGTGTTACATAGCTTCTGGTGCCCATTTAAACAATAAAAATAATTTTTTACACTGATTTATTCTGAAGTTCTTGGCAAAAGTTCTTAAGAAGGGTCTTAATGAAAAAAATCCCCAATTCCACACCTCTAAAAAGAAACAAATTGTCATGTCACAAATTTTCTATTTTCCCTCTCATTAATCTTTTTAATTATTTGTCATACAAGGTGAAAAAGAAACAATGTTGCAAGAAATCATTTTATATATTTATTTTACTATTAATATTGCACAATATGTACTAAAATTGCTTCATATATATGTGAGAAAGATTATCATACAGTATAGGCTCTCTGTTAATTAGAGGATGTGATGTTGGCTCTATTTTAAGATAATCCACAAAGAAGGAAAAAATACTTTAATCAGATTTTAGTTAATATTTGTTTTTTAAACATTAAAAAGGTAAATGCTCTTTTAATTTTACTTCACTCAACTTAATGGTTTCTTTTCCTAATGCTTAATCATTTGAAAATAAAAGTAGATGGACATATTGTTTTCAGTCATATATACTTCTATGTGTATAACTTTAATGCTGTTAATAGCAGTCTTATGCATGCTCAAGAAATCACATAGAATTCCTTGAAAGGTAGAGGATTTGCATAAGACAGTACTTGAAATGATACAGAAGTACAGAAAGTATGCATATTTCATTTTAAGTTTTACATGTTTTAAATGTTGCTTTTCTGTAGTTTAATTTTAAGAAAACAATTGCTTACAAATTTCAAAATATAAAGTTGCAATAATTTCCCCCCAGTATTAATATTCTTCTGAGTAAATCAATATAAAATGAAGTTTAGATGCATGCTTCCATATTGCACTAACAATTCTTAAAAATACAATTTAACACTTCCAATTCTAAAAATATAACTTCAAAGTAATTAACATTGATTTCAGTCAATCTTACTCCCAAGTACTGTGCTTAGAAGCGGGATGAAAAAAGTTTATACATTCATATCATATGGATGTTAATGGCTTGCTCTATGTACCTCTTTGTAATAAAGCCTTTCTGTTTTCTGTTTTGCATTTCAATGGTTCCCTCAAAATGTATTGTTTTCCAAAACCACCAAGTGACTTACCTACAACTTGCCATCAAGTTTCCTGCAGTTATAAAGTAGTGATCATGGTCAGACTCAGTTTACTTTCATCACTAAAGCTAAAATTAATAGCATCTTATTTACAATAATATTGTAATTTATTAATGATAATATAGTGTCCTCTGATTTACACCCAGTGTTTTCACTGATTCTTAAATATCCCTTTGCTGTATATTAACAGTGACATGTATTTGAACTACATGAAATAAAAACTTAAAAAAATGTTTTTGTTTTGATATATATTACAGTTGACATCATACATTTTGGCAAGGATTAGATTTTAATTTAACTGATTGTCTTTGCAAAAAGTGTGAGTTGTGACATTTAAAGACCTATGAAACTTACCAGTGTTTCTAATTTATTTTTAAATTAGAAAAGTACAGACTAATTTCTTACAATTTCTTAGATTCACTGATTACAATATATTTTTATCTTGGCAATGCTCACTGTTCAGGGACAAAGATTGCATTTCTTTTGTATTATTAATTCTGTAAGTTCCCAGTCATCATTATCCCTGATGGTCACTCTCTTTTGTGCCTCAAATCCCAGTTTCTTTAGGTCTCTTGTACATCTATCTATCCTTATTTTTTTCTGCAATTAGTCTTTGTAAATAGTCCCCTCTAGAAAAGAATGGCTTGTTTAAGAACATTGTCCTGGTGACACTGGGGCTACTTTGTAGCAAAGTGATTGTTTTTTGTGTTGATCTCAATTAAAAACTATAGTATATATGTAGATTTGATGTAGAAAAGAAATATAAATAAATAAGAAATCAGTTAATATTTAAACTACCACAGTATTTTAAGATTACAATCTTATTTGGACCATTATCTTGTTGGTATTTAATAACAATAATATCTTTCTAGAAATTAGGATTATGGAATTACTGTTCACATAAATACAGGAAGTAATGCTATGTAGTATATGTATTTGAAAATACTGTAGGACTTAATGTAGTAGGATTTACTTCTGAGTCAATATGCACAGGACTAGACTTCATATGGAAACATTTAGATGTAAATGGATTTAATCCCCCAGTCATGGAACTGGCAGTGCAACCCTATGCATAGTTTACCAGAAATTTCTGCTAAATGGGACTTATTTTGTAGTAAGTGTGCATTATGTGCTTGGGTACATGCAAGCATGTTAATAAGATCCCAGCAATCTAATATTTTAAAAAGATTTTATTGAAATTGATGCTTTTCACTCATAATAAATAATATCACATATTTGTAATGTCCAAATTATTTTTTTTGAAGGACTAAATATATATATTTTAAAATGCTATATAGTTTTAAGTATCATTTTTCATTTATAGAATTTTCTTCCTGCTCTGCATGCACACATATACAAAAGTGATTTTAAAGAAAATTATTATGTTGCAAGTTCCAAAAAAAGATTTCTGCTCTGCATTATATTGGGGAATATTCAAATGACAAATTGCTATGTTAATCACTGTTCAGTAATGCTTTCTGTAGGAAATGACACTCATTGTTTTCCTTCCCTTGTCTTCAGTCATCTATTTAGAAACATTCACTTTAGACTTTCAAGGACAGCAAAACTTTAGCCAAGATACCCTACATGCAAAGTACAAGCTCTAATAGTGGGTGATCTGAGGAGGCAGGGTGGGGGTGGGGTGTAAAGAGGCCTGCACATCTCTACTTTGTATAGCAGCTTTTTAGAAACTTACAATGTATATCATAATTATTTTGCAACTAAAAGATAGCAATTCATTTTATATATTTAGGGCAATGTTACAGAATGATACTTTATTTAATACTGTAACTAAAGTATCAGTAAATAAGGCAGGTTTGCAAAAACATAAACATTGCCAAGTGTTGCAGAAAATTGTCTTGCTTATCATTTAATGTGATGGTCAGGTCAGTGGTATCGTGTGTTATTCCTTTCATCTTCTGTATAAAATTAGCAGTCTTGAAATTGCAGAAAAGTTTAAAGTAGTAACCTTGAAATAACAGAAAAGTGAAATGCTGTAGAACTGCAGCTCTTTACTGAGCATATTTTGATTTTCCATTAAATTCAAAGGGATTTATTCCAAACATATATTAGTGGTATTGTCATCCCAGTCTAATCACTTCAGTTTTACGAATAGCTACAATTCCTTTTTTTAGTCATAAGTGCTCATAATGGATACATGAAAAATGGAAGATTTTTCTTTGCTGATTATCCTCAATTTCTTCTGATTTTTATATATATAAACAAACCAACTATTTATTAAAAAACTGAAAAAGATGCCATTTCAAATTACCTTAGATAGCAAGAAAAGTCAGATTGTATCTAAGAGCCTGAGGCAGATTTGTTGGTTTTTCTTTTTTTTTCTTAGCAGTTTAAATGCATATTGATATGCTGTGATATAGTGAAGCCAGGGTGAAAATAATAAACATAATAGGGTCCTGCAAATTTGGGAAATGTGAAGGAATTAAAGTGAAGGAAGTTAAAAGCATCCAAATCATACTGAGTTGTTGGTAATTTAATTGATGTATATCCAGGTAGTTTCCCTGAAACAAACAAGAAACCGAAATGTGTAAATTCTGCAGATGAAGCAAAATAAAATTAATTTAAGATGACTATGAATGGGAAAGAGGTAAAAATAAATCTTGCTGGAATTCCTTAATGTTGCATCCTTAGTCTGACAAAGCGTGTCATGCAGACATGATTAAGATTAAAGAGTACAATAGAATAAAGGAAAGCTTATGCCAGAATAAAATAAAAGGCCATTGGACTCTTGTTCTTCATAAAATAAATGCAGCACATTTCAAAATCAAAGCATTTTTAAATAAGCAGAATCTGATTTAATTGAGACCATGAAAAAAGCCAGCCAATTCTTATTAAAGATATCTGAAATTATTGCCAGTAGGAAAATATTATTAGGTCAGTAAAGAACTGAACCAGTGAGAACAATTATTATAAGCCTATTTTTAACTTTTAAAGTACTACCCAGAATAAGAAATATGAGCTTTGCTTGTGTGTGCGCGGGTGCCTGGGATGACAAAAATAGAAAGCTGCGGCTGATCACATCTCTAGGGCAGGCCCCAGATGATAGCAACTGACCTAACCTTAGGTTTGGTTGCCCGAAGCGCTCTCTCCACTGAGAGGAGTCTGAAATACACGGGAGGGAGGGAGGGGGGGGAATGCAGCGCGGGTGTGACAGAGCCAAGGGCCAGGAATCCATCAGCTCCGTTGGCCCCAAGAATCACAACGGCCTAAGGGGGGAAGTGAGATGAATGAAAACACACGCACGCGCGCAACATTCCTCCCCTCCCCCGCATCTCTCGGGAGCAGAGCGTGGTGTCATCTTTGTATGGCAGCCAAGAAACGTAAAAAAATGAATGCGTCTTGTCCGGGCCTAGTCCCTCCACACAGCATGACTTCCTCAGACAAGAGGGAGGGCGACTGTGCATTCCTCCCTCCCTTCTTTCCCTCCCTGCGCACGCTCCGAATGTGCATCCGTAGGAAATCCCCCCCCCCCAAAAAAGAGGAAGGCTCGTGGGCATCGCGCGCGAGAGACACGGGAGTTTAAGGTCGCCCGCGCTCTACGGACGGCCCATGGTTCTCGCGTGGAGGGAGGAAGAGCGGGGAAGGAGGAGAAAGAGAAGACCGGGGAGTGTAAAGGCCTTCGGTTCTGCGGCCTCTGGCGCGTAGTCAGGCCTTCTCTGAGGAAGGCTTGCAGTGCGCCTGCGTGGAGCGGGCCTTGCTCTCTCTCTCCCTCCCTCTCCCTCTCCCTCTCTCGCTCGTTTTATTGCCTCGCTTCGTGGACCGCAGGGTTTCTGCCGCGGCGCTGGCCCGTAACTTCAGACTCGTTCCTGTTGCCTGAGCTGAAAGACTGACGGATAGTGGCCCGGCCGTGCCGGCGCACGAGAGGAACTTCAAAGAAGCTTCTTCATCACTGTTTTTTCCCCCCTCGCCTCCCTGCCGCCAGCACCACTGGCGCTTCCAGCGGCCATGGGTCCGACATCCCTGTTATGGAGGCGGTACTGGCGGCGGCGGTGGCTGAGTGACTGAAAACCGAGAGTGCTGTGGGGGAGAAGGCAGCGGAGGCCACGGGGGTCTCCCTGGCGGTGTGTGGTGTCGTGCTGACGGTGTTTTTAACCCTTAGATGGTCTCTAGCGAGCCGTTGTTGCTGCCTGTGTCACTGGAGGGCGAGTTCTCCAATAGCATGAAGGAGATGATCGGCGGCTGCTGCGTGTGCTCCGACGAGAGGGGCTGGGCCGAGAACCCGCTGGTTTACTGCGACGGGCATGGCTGCAATGTCGCAGTGCATCAAGGTGAGTGAGAGGGCCCGCCTCGGCCAACCCCGTTCCGCCGCCCATTTACACGGGCAAGCCGCTTCCTGCGGCCTTCCCTTCTTCCTTCGCCCCCGCCACCCCTTCAGCGTCATCTTAGCCCCGATTGCCCTTTCGGAGTATGTATGCACGCTATTGGCTCTCCCCGCCCGATAGCAAAAAGATCGAGTGGCTGCTTGCTCGCAAGCCCAGGCATTGTTTTAGGATCATTATTTTTTAAAAAAACAATGGTAGTACGTTGTGTGTTGTGCAACAGTTGGGAAAGACTCGCTTTTCCTTCTGTTCGGGAATTGCGCGTGTCGTCTTAGGTCGCTACTTCCTTATCCTGCATGTGCCTGCCCCTTCCTCCGCCCTCTGGTCAGAAAACAGGCAGGGTGGGAAAAGGGCTGGGCCGTTAGCAAAACAGTCCACGAATGCAGAGTTCGGCGTAGTGGGAAGACCGATTTGCAATTTTCTCTCTCTGCCTCCTAAATTGGAATCCGTTTTCCCGTCGGCACGCCGAGAGAAAGCTTGCTGCTTTCCTCCCGCAGACTTCTCTTCTTAAACGAGACGTGGAACTAGGTAAAGTGTTTGTCCAAGGGAGAGTTGGATATCATGTGACATCCACCCCCCCCCCACCCGTTTCCCCCACCCTCCAAGCTTGCCAAAGTGTCATTAAGCTGGATCGGGTCGGCTGGATAGGAAGACTTCCTGTTTGTGGTAGGAGCTTGATGGAGGAAGGGAGAAAAAGGGCCGCTGTAGAATTACTTAGCCTTTGATGATAGATTTGTTTGGATTACTGGAGGGAGTGCAATTGGCTGGTGCCCAGCTGTGTTGCTGTTTTGCTGGCTATAATGAGCACAGTGTGCATCTGTCTGTATCTTGGTGTTCTTGTTTCTTTTACTTTTGGGAGAAGTTGGGGTCACTTATAACTGTATATCACAGCACAAAAGGTATAAGGGATTTAATTGTTTTAATAACACTTGTTAGATCTTTTGACAGGGCCTTTTTCTTCTTGCAAACAAAATATTTATATTTTTAGTTCTGTATGTATGTATATGTACTCTTTTTAACAGGTTTGCTAAATTTTAACAGCAATCACTAAATAGCAATTTAAATTCATATAATCTTTTGGGAGAAAAGAGAGAGATATTAGGAAAAAATTTCCAAATAAATGATGTAGAACATTTTTAAAAAATTGCTGTATGTACTCTTGATAATGAACAAGGTTAAAGAATTGATATTGAAATTTCAGTCTTTATTAATTTTCCAAAAGCCTATACATTTTTAATAGTATGACATTTCATGGTAGGAAATGATGAAATAGTGACCTTATAATATAAATGTGGTGTAGATATGTTTCTTACCCCACCTGAATGAAAATTAAATATCTTTATCCAAAAACATATTGCTGGGGATTTTCTCAATATTGAGTAATGTGAGAAGAATATATTACATGTTTTATAAATATCAGTGATGCAAATGGTTAGGATTTATGTTTTTCTCCTATAGAGATATTTATTTCACTGTATTTTCTTAATATGTTAATAGTAAATCTGCAATATGTATCATATTTGAGATGTTATCCAACCATGGGAACTACAAAATAATTAAACAGAAAATACAGTGAGGATGATAGTAACTCTTACAGCATGCTGTAATTTGATTTTTATGTGCTTCAATCATTTTTTGCATACAACAATATTTTTGTGCTGAAATATACATCTGTATACTATGTTTTTTCAAAATAAGTCCAATTAATAAGTCCAATTAATTTAATTGGAAATAGTTTATATCCTTAGAAAATAGCCCGTTTGCTCAGTTGATTCATATTTTGGTTTCAAAAATATTCTCATGATTTACAGGAAGATTCAAGATTTTTCTAATTAAAATTAAATTGAATTCATTGTAAATGTGAGAATGCATATTAAAAAATCCTTATAAAGTGACTCTCTAGAGAGGTTTTTTTGAGAAAGTTCATCTTAAAAATCAGTGATTCCTGTAGCAGGAATTAATTACTTAAGGGAATTAATGGGTGAAGGAAAGAAGTTCATCATTGATGAGTAGTTATCCTTCTTTTGATATTCTAATCTTCCATTGTAAGAAAATTAAAGAAATTTGAAATGGAAGAAAGTTAATATAAGACTGCAGAAATATTGTGGAAATTCAGAACAGTCTGCCTATGATAGAGTATGGCTGTGGGCTGTCATTTGTGACACCTGTTGATGACATCTGCAACCCTCACAATTATATTAAAATGTTTTTTTAATGTTCAGAAGTTAAAATAGGCAGAATTTTCTCTCCTATCATATCTTATGACATTTTGCTTGAATTCCCAAGTATATTTTGTGACATACAATTTTGGGTAATTTTGATTGTCTTTTTGACCTTTGATGGTTATCATTATTTAGAATGCTGGAGTTTGGAGGAATTGCTTAATTGCCTTTACCTATTCACTACAATATCCAAAAAAGAACTGGTGCCTAGTCTCTATTTGAGCACACCTAGTGAAACGGAATCTATTAACCTATCTGTATAATTAGATCCATTATCAAACTGCCTTTGCTGTTTGAATTTTTTTCTTAACATGTAGTAGAATTATGCCCTCCTATAACTTAAACCTATTATTCCAAATCTGTACTCTGGTATGAAAGAAAACAATCTTAACTTTTTCTATGTAATATCTTTTGGTATTTTAGGAATGCTATCAGCACCTCTCAGCTGGCTTTCTCATGGCTGAATTTTTCCCAAGTCCTTCAGCCTTTCTTCATAGAACATTTTCTATTCCCCTGATCAGCCTTGTTGCCTTCTCTGGATCTGTTTCAATTTTTATGAATATTTAAAGTGGTGTGCCCAGAATTGTACAAGTTCTTTAAGTAGTACCTGTGAAAAGCATAATACAGTGGAATGATTATTTGCTATGATTCAGAAATTATATTTCTGTTGGTGCAGTCTAAAGTTGTATTATACTTTTTTGCAACCATATTCCACAGCTGGCTTATATTCAATATGCAGTTAAGCACTTTATCAAGTACTTTCTCGCATATACCATGCCAGATAGTGTCTATTCAGTATTTGTGCAGATAATCTTTTTTCTAAGTGATGAAATTTGTTCTTGTTTCTGTTAATTCTCATTATTTTACATTCAGCCAATATCTCTATCTTGCCAAGATTATTATTTTTTCTGTGTGGTGTCCAAGTGCTGTAGATACACTATCCAATTTGCTAAGGAATCTTAGTTGTTTGTTGAGTACAATTTTTGAGTCAGCTTTGTATCCCCCTTAATTATATGCCATCCAGCCCATGCTTTCAGAATGGGGCAGCTGTAATATATCTGATTAATAATCATCATCATCATGCTTTGGTTGCTCATCAGCATGTCACGTGTTATTTTATGTAATGATTTGCTGAAAACATGATATATTATGTTCACAGAATTCCCATAATCTATTAAGGAAGTTGCCCAGTCTACATTTCTATATTTATCTATATTTATGTGTTTGTCTAACTTTTGATAATTGTTACATAGTTTTCAGGGATCCTATGAAATAATCTATTTACAATAATTTCAAAACTTTTCCCAAATATTAAGGGCAGGCTAAATATACTAAACTCATATGTGATATTAGATCTGTGTCAGTTTTCTATATCTTTTTTTTCCTTTTGATGATGGGCAGCATTTTCAGACATTTGGCATTTTGTTAATTCTTTAGGATTTCTCAAAAATAATAACTAAGTATTCCGCCAAAACATCAGTTAGTTTCTTAAGTATGATAGGAAATTATTCAAAGCATCCTTCTCTGACTCAGTTTATTATTTTGTTTTCTGATTCCAATTTCATATTACAATTCCTGACTACTTGTCTGTATGTTTCCTTTGTAACTTGGACCACTTCCTAATTTATGTATCCAGTTTTTATTTTCAAATATTCAATAAAGATGTTGATTTCTAAAGGCAAAAGTAGAGATACAAGCACTTTAGCTTTGTGCAATCTAGATCATTGTCATGTCTGATGTTATTTTATTATTTGTGCTTACAAAAAGCAGATTTGCTCAACTTACTGATCTTATTTTCATATCAATCTGCTTCTCACTTTTCTTCTAAAGAGAAAGGTAGCTAGAAATGAAATACAGTAATATAAATTTTATGTATAACTGTGCAAGTTATGTAAACTTTATTTAGTGGTAAATCCAAATGAATTCACTCCAATTTAATTTTCAAGTTAATATGCAAATACTATTATGATGCCAAGTGATAAATTAAAACTCTATATTATCTATACAGTGGTACCTAGATACTCAATTGCTTTGAAACTCATCAAATTTAGTACTCAACACATTTTGATGCAAAAATTTAGTCCTAGAACTGATAGTTTGTTTGATATTTAATGCACAAATTAGAACCTGTTGTCAGCTGCCTAGTGATGTACTACTTTATTCCTTATGGGGAAAATTTGTTTGGTACTCATGGTTTTTGGTACTGTTTGCGCCTCCCAGAACCAATTAACGATGAGTACCAAGATATCAGCAGTATAACTAAACTGGATGTTTTTAGTCACATCACAGTTACTTTGCTTTGTGAGATAGTTGGATTTTATGTTGTACAAACGTCATGGACGAGATGTTCCACAATCCATAATCACTACTGTGATTTCTATAATCAGTTATACCACTGGCACATGCATTTCAGAACATTTATATACATGCATGTATACATACACACATACCATTTTTTCAGCATATAAGACACACCTTTACCCCCCACCCTAAAGAGGGTGAAAAAAATGATGTGCAAAAAAATGATGTGCAGAGGGTTTGGGAGGCCTGCAAAGTGCTTCTGGTTGCTGGGTTAACCCTAACCCTACCCCCCTAGCTCCCAGGAGCACTCTAAAAGCATCCTAAAGACACTGCATACCCATTTTGGAGGGCAAAAAATGGGCCCATTTTTTGCTTGTCTCCCCCCTTCCCCAGAAACACTTTGCAGGCCTCTCAAACTCTCTGCATGCCCTGTTTTTCACAAAAAATGAGGCGTGCAGAGGGTGTGGGAAGTCTGCAGAGTGCAAAAACTTTTTTTTTAATTTACTTCTTCAAAATCTTGGTGAATCTTATGCTCTGAAAAATACAGCACATACCTATATACCATATATACGTAATTTCAATTTAAAACATACAACTAAAAGATGGTGTGTATACAAACCTAAAGGCATAAATAGAATTGACAGATGTTACTTTCATGATGAAATTTGATAAAGTATATATGGGATAACTTGTTTCCTAGTGCTGGGAATAGCATTCTGTAGTAGCACCAATACATTGATTATAATAGTTTTATTGTAAGTAGCTAGTTGGAAGGTAAAAGATATGTAGGAATATAGGTTTGTTAGATTTGATTGTTGTACAATGATATTTTGGGACGAATATATACAAGGCATTTTTAAGAATAATAAGCAATATTGTTTAATAGATTATCAGAAACATAAGAATAATAATACTAGTAGACAAAGATGATGCTAAAGCTACAATTGAGAATAATATCATATATAATTTGAAGACCTGAACATGAATACATCTTTTTTTCTTCCTTTGTTTTTTGTACCAGATTGCTTGATTAAAAATCAATCCATCGAATTAAATTTTTTATTCATTATTAGCCTTATAATGGTTTGATTTGCCCATTCAAACTTTTGTCTCCATTTTAGCTCAATATTCTTGTGACTTTCAACATACTCTTTCTTATTCTCACTCTTAGTTTCATGTAATGGTTAAGGCATTAGGCCAGAAACCAGGAGACAGTAAGTTAGGCATAAAGCCAGTTGGGTGACCTTTAGCCAATCACTTTCTCTCAGCCCTAGGTTGAAGACAATGGCAAAGCACTCCTGAAAACTTTCCAAGATAACAACAATTTCTGAGAATTGGAGACAATTGAACAGAAAAAACCCCAATCCCTAGGAAAATATTAGATTAGGAGAAAGGTTTTAGGTTATATGCTTCGATAGATCTAAAAAAGAAGCCCTTTGTTGGGAGAATCCTCAATTTAGCAACTTAAAATAAATTAAAGATGAGGATTTGATTAAAACAATTTATTTAATTAGAATTTGTTACCTGGTATCTATTAACATGCTCTATTAAAAAAAGGACTGATCAAATTGACTTTCAAGGGCAAAAATGTTATCAAAAATTTTCAAGGTAAAGCACCTTGTTGTATTAGTGTACATAGAATAATTATAACATTTTAAATAGAATTAATAAGAGATTTCTAAATATATATTTAATATTTATAAATTACTTTCCTTCCTCAATATTTACATATAAATAAAGTACATTAGTAGGTAATTTAATTTAATGGTATATTTTGGGTATAGGTCAGTAATATATTTGCATATATTGGTTTTTGTCCCCAAAACAGCATGCTACGGAATTGTGCAAGTACCCACTGGACCCTGGTTTTGTAGAAAATGTGAATCTCAGGAAAGAGCAGCCAGAGTGGTAAGTCTAAATTAGTCGGTATAATTTACAACATATTTATTTACTATTTCTACTAGCCGATATATATATGACTACCGAAAATGAATTACATTTATCAGGGAATGACAGTTTCTCTTTTATCAGTCAATAATGGGAATAAATAAGCATTCTATTTTTATATTTTTGCCTGGATGTTTTAATTAGTTCTAGTTTCAAAGTATAGAAAACCACGAATTTTTACTTTAAACAATATCATATTATATATTCCATGACTACATTCCTTCCTATCTCTACCCCTCACCTACCCCTTCAGAAGGGAAAAATGACCTGTGAGTAAAAGTGCAATTTTCTTTTTCTTTGAATTTCTGCTACAAATTGAAAAATAATCTAGCTGCCCAAGTTTTCTAGCAGCTTGAAAACATGGGAGGTTGCTTCTTCAGCATCTATTAGTTTCTGGTTTTTGCATCAAAACTGAAACTCTTATAAATACGTTATGGAAGTCTAAGAGAGGCAAATCTAATCCTAGATTTCATTCATTTTATTGCTGTAATTGACATATGGATACTTGGGAGTAAAAATTGCAGTCCCCAAAAATAATTTCTACAAGTATTGTCAGTGCATTCTGACAGTTTATTATTGGAAGTGGTATTAAAAAAAGCTTATTGTGATTGGAAATATACATAGAATCTTAAATTCCTATTTTGTTTTATACTTTTTTTTGAAATGGGCAAAAATGATCCACTGTTGTGGTAGATCAGACTCTGTAACTTCAAAATGATAGCACTGAATTATGTTTGAAATATGCTAACAAAATTTTAAAGATGCCTGCACTTGTACATCATGCTAAACCATAACTTAATGTAGCATACACAAATAGAATCTCAGCAGGTCTTCTGTTCTGTTCTGTTTTCCCTTATTTAGTATATTAAAGGGAGAAATAATTGTCTTTTTCTTTATGCAAATTGAGAGTTTGCATAAAGTAGGTCAATTTCAAACTTCTGAAACTGGTTTTTGTAATTATGTTAGTTAAATATAAATTATAATTCTGAAGTAACTTACATAGCTAAGTGGAAGCTGTTTTCTGATCTGCAGTATTTCGCCAATATATGCCACATAGATGCATTGGTTTTATAGTTTCTAAATTACATAATTTCATTACTGAGAACTGGGTTACTATTATGTTGGGATTACACCAAATTGGGGAAAAGGTTACTTTAGTGCATAATGTAAGATACAACTATAAATATTAGGTTATATTGTAGGATTTGCTATCTATTTTCTAGATTTAAATTTCCCGTGCACAAGAACAGAGCTCTTTATTATCTCTCTTTGTCTACTATATAGTACGTTTCTGTAACATTTTCATTGTCTTAGCCTATTATTGGCAATATATTAGGACATTGACTGATTTATTTTATTTACCAGATTTATTTAATAAGAAATAAGTGAGGATGTAATGAAGCTTAAGAATTCAGTTCTGTTCTATTGCACTTGATTGCTATTTTTTATATTAGTTACTGTATTTATATGGGTGGTTCAGTGCTGTATTTTTTCAATTATTTGATTTCTTGATGGACTCGATATCTACTACATCTTGAGGCAGACTAGCACATTGTTTTCTAGTGAGTCAGTTAAGTCCTTTGGTGGCATGCATTGTTAGGGTATGTATATGGTATGGTGTGGCACTATATACTGTATATAGCTTAGCTTTGCTTTAGATGAATTATAGTAGCTTCTTACTCAAGAAACGGATGAAACAATAGGGTGGGTTCACACATCATGCTATGATATACTTTATTTCACTGTGGGCAAGATTGATTGGGATGTTAGAGCTCAATTCCTGTTCCTTTGGGGACAGTCTGGTTGTGGTTAGCAATATGGACATTGAAAAAGAGCTGAAATGTGGATCTGTATGATCTATATGTATGGTGATGCTGAATACTGCATTCTTTATGGTTTTTCTGCTTTTCAAAAGCTCTTTGCTAAAAGAGAGATGAAACATTTATGGAAATGTAGATGGTTTACTAAATCAAGCAATTTTCAGAGAAAGGATAGTAATAATGATTTGGAATGCATGTATACCTCTCAGGTTTTTTTAAAAATGCATCACTCTTTTATTTTATATAGTTGGATATTTGGGTATCTGATACAATAAATACAGATTTGTATCTGAGCCTTAGTTTTTATCCATGATTAGAAAATAAACTTTATTTAAATGTGGTATAATATCTATAGTTACTGAAATCCATTTTGATTATTTTTGTAAAGCTTTTGAAAGGATCCTCAACAGGATCAAGGTAATTATTTTTGTAATGGTTTTGTACATTCCCACACTAATATTTGTTCCACTTCATTTTCTAAGAATAAATTAGAACTGTAAATGTAAACATCCTTATACAGATTAATTTCAGTACCTGAAATATTATTGTAACAATAGATGTCCAAGTTTGCAAGGAGAATGCTGAATTAGTTCCATTGTGACCTAGTTTTGATTGCCATCATTTTCATTTAGATAATCTTTAGTCAAGAAGTATGTGTCAATATTAATCTATTTTGCTTGTAACTAGTTCTTGATTTAATTTTTATATATATCACGAGTGTCAAACTCGCCATGTCACATTGCTGTCACGTGACGTATCACAATGTTTTTCCCTTTGTGGAACTGGAGTGTGTGTGGTCTGGTGTGTGGGAGGCATCCGGTTCGCTGGCTGCCAGTTTGATACGTCTGATATACATGGTTTGATTTTAAATTCTGTTCCATGTTTTTATTACATGTATTATTGTTCATACAATTATGCAGAATCCTGCTCAGAACCTTCTAGAGCTCATGTGTTGCTTGGTTGGCAAGTCCATTCCTCAAATATGTCACTCAACAAGGTATGGCTCCTGCCAAGCTTTTTGAATGCTTTAACCATCGTAGTATTTGCATATTTATGCTTGAAGATATTATTTCTCTACTTTGCATACATTCTTCCTTTTAAAAACTTTTTTTTCCTTAACATTTTTAAAATTATCTTCAAAACTCCATAGATACGTTCAGGACAGGAGAGCCTTCTATTGCAAGCTTTCAGTGTCATGACTCTCAGGGACTCATTTACTTGTCAGCATTGTTAGACATTTATTAAACAGGCTCATCAAAATCATTCTTTTAGTTTGTGAGTCTCTCTTTGAACTTCCTGAAACAAGCATTAAGGGTAGTAGAATCCAAAGCTATCGTAACTCCTTTGTTCTTCTTTATGTCTCCTACCATATCTCCAAAATTGCCTGGCAGCTTCCTTGTCTGAGAGATCTGCTGATCTCCGCCTCCTGTAAAAAACACTTAATGTCTGTGTTGCACTATTGTTAGCCCCCCAAAATTCCTCTTTGAGATTCGAAACTTTCTAAGAGGCCTACCTGCCTCATTCCAGCCAGAACCAAAAAATAAAATAAAATTGGAACCATACAAACTAGGGTCCTTTTAACCTCTGAGGCCCAAAGCTTGGGGGAACAGCTAGGTCTTAAGAAAGGCTAATAGGGTCAAACTATCTGGATCTCCCAAGGGAATGCTGTTCCATAAGGCAGGCAGTATGATAGGATTATCTTTAGCCATAAAGTTATTTCCTTCCAAAACCAGTCTTAATCTTCCACCTGAATCACAACATTATATTGCCACATTTTGCCAATTACTCAAGTCACTGAAAGTTTTTGTATATCTACAATATTCTCATATTTTATTTGGAGAACAAGATATTCTTTTGCTGGAAGCAAATTTTATTTCTGGTTTTTCTGTGGCATTTAAAGGCCATAGATAATTAATCCCTTAGCATTCTCCAAATGGAGGTGGCGATCATATTTTGTTGTGTTAGCAAAACAGCCATGTCTCCTTTTTACTTGTGCTCACTTTTCAAAACTGATGGTAGCATTATCACTATTCCCCTATGGCGATTCCATAATGAACTTATGCTGGGTAGCCACATGGGTCCAGTCTTCTCCTTTTCATATATTTCTGTAGACTGCACTTCTATTCCTATAGAATTGCAAGGTTTGGAAGGGCTATTCCTACTGTGGCAAGTCTCTCTTCTAGGTGAGAAATTGTTAGGAATCCATGTTTGTGAATCTCACAGACAACAGTGAAAAACTGGTTGCTTAGCAATCAGTTCAGTTCTTTGATTGGTTGTCTGTGAATTTATACAACCCACCCTACTACTCCACTAGGTGTCAGATGACTATTGTTCCTTTGGTTCTGCTGCATCAGTTTTAGCAATTCAAGTGACTTGGTAGAACCTTTAGTTTAAGTTATTTGCAATTGAGACTTTGTATAGAGACATAAGCCTTGAATGTGAAATTGTAAAAATCATTTAAAGAATTATTGTAATTAGAGCAATGTAAGTAATTCATAGCTACTATCTCATGGAAAAACAAATCTGTATTTAATAATACAGTATGTAGAATGATAAACTCAATACGAGTAGTATTAGGAAGGAATAGGAAATACAATGGGGTCTTGATTCTATTGTATAAATCTCTACTGTATGGGATGATTACACCTAACAAACAATTTACCATTTGAGTAAATGTGTGTGTATGTTTAGTTTAAAATGCAGGTAGCCCTCATCTAGTGACTATAACTAGGTCTGGCAACTTTATTAAGTGAAGTGATCACTAAGTGAAATTGTCACTATTCATGATCTTATTTCAGCTTTCCTTTCCAAGGTTGTAAATATGAAAATCACTTGTAAAATTACTTTTTTCATCATTGTTGTAACTGCAAATGGTCATTGCATGAGACAGTTACTAAATGTGGACTACCTGTATTGTATAACTGCTCATCTTAGATCACATCTCCATGTGGTTCATAACTGATAAACTACAAAAACTAACCATAGTTTTACAAACTGAAAGTAAAAACCTGGAGTCTCAGACATTCTGTTAGTATGCCTTGATAACCCATCCATAGGCTCCCCTGCACTATACCCCAGTGCATGTCAGAAAGAAAAAAAATGAGTCAGATTCCTTCAACAGAGAATCTTCACCAAGTGGAAGTCTGAACCTTGTATTTGAGGCTAGACTTCTAGATCAGTGTAATCATATTTCTCTCTTGAAACAAAAGTAATTAGCATATTTTAACAATACAATGTTCAATTTTATTAAGATGTACTTTAGGATTATCCCCACATTTTAAACTAGTAGGTATATCTAGCTTTCCAAGACTAACATAGGACGTTCTTTCATTAAATAGTTGCTGTTAGGAGTATGATTTGTTAGGCTGGATGAAAATTAATTTTATTATGATTCAATGTAGGTGACATACATGGAAATGGAAGTTTAGAATAAATGCAAATTTAATTTAATTATTCAGTACTTTTTATCTAGTCTTCCAAAAATCTTCCTTTTTCAAAGCTAATCCTCTTTACTTCTCTTCAATATATCAGTTTCTCCATTTTATTTTGCTTAACACTACTTTTCTTTTTCCATTTACTTCTTGGGTCACATAGCTTCCTTTTCCTATAATATTGTATTATCTACATTAGACTTGCAGAACTTCTAGAGAGGAAAAAGCCATTGAGAAATTAAAACTAATAACAGGCCACAAAGGAATACCTGGCATGCCAATCAGCTGTTTGGCAGCTAGTAGCACAGTGATAGGGAGAGTGCTGGTAATGTTGATGAGCCTTGGAGGTATTGAGATGCTCAGTAGTATGTCTCGGCGGGTCCTGGCAATGGGAACATTGGCAGCAGGGGATTTAATGAATTTCAGAAAATTCCAACAGGCCCCACAAAGCTATTTGGCTGGCAAATCCTATGTTGTGCAGACTTGCTCCAAAGTCTTATCGTAGATGCTATAGTGTGATTCCCAAATGCCACATTCCTGGCACACCAAAGAGCAAGAATCATGTGCATTTCAAAAAGGCCTCTTTAATAGTAGTCTGAGAAAAAAGAGTAAATTCACAGTCAAACTCCTAGTAAGTTAATTAAGGTGGAGTCTCTCTCAGATGTTTCCTTTGCATGACCCTTACATCTTGGCTGTGTTACCTTTTTTCACCTAAACTGTATTTGTCTTCCTTCACTTTCTTTTGAGTCTCTCACAGCATTCTCTTTTACTGGGCAATGGTAATAAAGTCTGACCTTTCCCTTTTCTCCTTGAAATATGCCTGACTAAGTGGAAAAAATGAAAATGAAATAAATATTAGGTGTGAGAAAGGGCAAAGGAAAATGTCTGTGGCTGAAGTGCACCCGCAATAACCATTATCTACAATTTACCCTGTGGAGGATTCTTCCCCACTGCGGAGACAATGAATTGTTCTTTTCATTGCTTCCAGTATACATTGGTGTGGTTGTCTGAAAAACATTGGAATTGTAGATTCGAAGGATATATATTTGGGGATGATTGTTATAAAATATGAAGATACTGTGTTTTTAAAATTATATTTCAAAATATTGAAAATGAAGAGATAAATATCTGACAGATCTCAAAATGCTTTATACCGGTGTCTTCACTGAAGTTTTTCTTATGCAGAAGCATCTGCAGTAATCTGTCTCATGTTGGAGTTGTGTACACACAGAACTAAAAGACTTAAGAAATTTTTATCATCTCCTATGGATCAATGTACATTCATATGGAACTAGTAACAATAATGGGAAAATATGGATTAAGGCAAAGGAAGTTTTTTAATGCATGAAAAATTCTCCTACTTTCCTTAACTGGAAAATCTAAATTACAAGCTAAAGATATTTCATACATTATGTTTTTCTTTTTTTGCTGTTCATAATTGTGTTTATTTTCCTTTAGAAATGTGAGTTGTGCCCTCACAAAGATGGTGCTTTAAAGAGGACTGATGGTGGGGGTAAGTATTTAAAAACTTTTCTTTCAAATTCTTTGCTTATTAAATTACATTTTATATAACTGCTTACCTCTTTTTCTTTAGTTCTGTTTCTGGACATATATAAACATGTCTAGAAGAGAAACATCTTGAATGGTGTATGTGATACTTGGCTTGATTGTTCTGTTATTCTATCTGAATGTTATTTTAGTTTCTTTATATTTAAGCTTTTAACCTCTTATAACCTGGTTACAGTAATTTTTGTGAGTTGAACAGCCATATAAATCAAATTAAAAAAGAAATAATACAATTAACTGGTATTATGAGTGGTAAAAGCTATACATTTTTTGAGACAGTAAAAATCTTTTAAATTTTTGTATACCATTTATTGTATTTGATAATGTAAATGTTCATCAGTATAACATATGTTTGATTTTACATATGGGCATGAATTTGAGAAAATCATTTTCTTCCTTAATTCATATCTTCTTACACATGGTAAATAAGAATAGTATTATATTAGAGGACTGTATATATATTGTACTCTGAACTGATGCTGAAATTCTTTAGTGAACTTTATAATTCCATCTGAAGCTTTAATTTACTGCTCTCAAGTTGCATGTGTAAAATGAGGTGCAAGTATTCAGTGATACAGTAATGTAAAACTAAAATTATTATCTTCCGCATTTGCTTTGGCAAATTGTGGAAAGAAATGAAAATCTTTCTTTTCCTACAAGCTGATCCTTACAAATGCAAATAAATTCAGATTTGCTTTTTAAATATAAATTTCATAACTAAGCACTTAGCTCTGCATTCAAGTCTTAACTTTCCATTTAAAAATCCATAGCATACTTAGTAATTACAACTACTTCAGCATAAAAATGGCAATGCTAATTTAAAGCCAAACATAATAAACTATGTAGCAATTCTGTAGAACAATAGAAATGTAAATTAGGCTCTGATGTTACTAAACCCTGGTAGAATAGTAGTTTTTGTTTAATGTCTGAAATAAAGGAGGGAGTATAATCACCATGAAGTGGAAACTGATAGTTTCAGTGCCACTGCTGAGAAGGCCTTACCATGCAGCAAATACTTGAAGTAATGAAGAATTTGTAAGTGGTTCACTTTGCAAAAATTGGACTTTTAGCATTTTCTAATTTAAATTAATTTAGGATTTATAATCCTAGCAGGATTATAAAAATACTTTTACAAATTTATTGAGTGCAGAATTCGTTTTCTTAATTCACATTTCTCTGGTCATGGCTTCCTGAAATATAAGGCATTTAATACTGTTTATGTATTTTACATACCGTGTTTCCTCGAAAATATGACATGTCCTGATAATAAGGCCATGCCACATTTTTCTGGTGGGGAAAAATATATGGCCTCCCCTGCAAATAAGCCCCCTGGACAACTGCCCCATTCCGGCCAGGCAGAGCTCCGCTCACCAACCTAGTAGTATCCCGAAGATGCCAAGCCGCGGGAACTGGGGGTGGATGGGGGGCAAAGGTGATCGTGTTGCTTGGCGCCTTTGGGATATCCCTGGGTTGGTGAGCAGCGCTGTGTCCAACTGGGGAGGGAGATTGCCGGGCGGCTGCTCTCTTGTGAGCAGGCTCCCAAAGAGCCAGGCACAGCCTCAGGGGCGAACGGCTGTGTTGCGCTGTTGCAGCAGCACAACACAGCAGCCATGAAGCAACCATGCTCACGAGCAGCCACCTGGCAAAACCCCTTTCCAGCTGGGCACAGCACCATTCACTGACATGGGGTATCGCCAATCCACCTGAGCGCCTGTTCGCCGCTGCCCGGCTCTCGTGGCTTGCCTTCAAAATGCCAGTGAATGGCACTCTGCACGGCTGGAGAGGGGGGTTGCTCAAGCGCTGTTCCGCTCGTGGGCCTTCCAGCCTCACAATGCCCTGGCCCAGCTCTCCCTGCTGAACCAGGATACCTCCGCTGCTGCCCGCTGCCATCCCAGTATGGCTTTTTCAGCGGCTTCCAAACCGAGTCTTCTGGCAATGGCCACTCTGGGCGTACGCGCTGGCATTTCAAAGACCCCAAGCCATGGGAGCGGGCAGCAGGAAATGCGTTCGTGCGGCTTGGCGATACCCCTAGGTGAATGGCACTGTGCCCAGCTGGAAAGGGGGTTTGCCAGGTGGCTGCTCGTGAGCGTGGTCGTTTCATGTCTGCTGTGATGCGCCATTTGCCCCTGAGGCTGTGCCCGGCTCTTTGGAAGCCCGCTCGCAAGAGAGCAGCCACCCGGCAACCCCAAAACAATAAGCCCTCCCCTGATAATAAGGCCCAAGCCATATTTTGTGAGTCAAAAGAAAATAAGATCCTGTCTTATTTTCAGGGAAACATGGTATATATGCACACAAGTATGTGTTTGAGTGAGACACAGACACATACAGAAACACACACCTCTATTGACTCATATGCATATGATATCTTTACATTATTTAGCTCCTAGATTTGTAATTATACTGCTTTGCTTTAGTGGTTATAATACAGAACTTGTAAATTTTTAATTTTATTATTTAAGACTTCAAAATGTGCTTTATTAGAAGAAGCCAGCCTTTTTCATAATTACTTTTTGTTTGTTTAGTGATTTATTAGCATGATATTTTTTTCCATGAATTCATATATGGATTAAAGATTGGATGTTTTCACAAGTACTATCTTTGAATAAAAGGTTGATGGTGTTTTTTAATACTGCTTTTAAGAATGTTCACTTAAACTTTGCTGTTTGTGTGTGCAATGTTGCTACTACATGAATAAATCATTAGTTAATGCTTGAGTGGATGCTATAATGAATGTTGTAATTGTAACCAGTTACAATGGAAGAAGACAAGCACCAGGTTTTCTGATAAATACCATATTTTTCAGACTATAAGATGCACCGGAGTATAATACGCACCAAGATTTTGAAGAGGTAAATTAAAAAAAAAATTTTTTTTGCCCTTCCCAGCCCTCAGGAGCTAGAACCCACTGCATGCCCCATTTTTTTTGTGAAAAACAGGGTAGGCAGAGAGTTTGAGAGGCCTACAAAGTGCTCCTGGGGGCTGGGCAGGGCAAAAATAATAAAAAAAACAGTCTGTTTTTTGTGAAAATGGGTCCATTTTTTTTGCAAAAAATGGGGCATGCAGAGCGTTTGGAAGGATTGCAGAGTGCTTGGGAAGACAAAAACACCCCCATTTTTGTGAAAAACGGGCCCGTTTTCACTTGTTTTTACCCTCCCTAGCCCCCAGGAGCACTCTACAGGCCTCCCAAACCTCTGCATGGCTCATTTTTTGCAAAAAATAGGATGCGTGGGGCAGGGTGTCAGGAGGCCAAAAATGCTGTATTCACTGTATAAGACGCACCCAGATTTTCACCCCTTTTTTTGGGGGGGGGGGAGAAAGTGCATCTTATACTCCGAAAATATGGTAAGTTGACTTTCCCTCTGAATTCTATGGATACAGTAGATTTTTTCCGAATGGTTTCTGCTGCTCTACTGGAACTCTGGTTGATTTCTAGAAAGCACTTAAGGGTAAAGACATATGATGGTCATGGAGAAGGCTTACAATAACCTGATGTCTTCTGCATGCTTTATTTATAATTCCCTTGATCCTTGCATACCTATCATAATCTTGATGTGATATGAACTGTAAACTAAAATAAAAAAGATAACTCATTTTAGACGTTTGCTTTAGAAAATGTACTCTTGTGAATAATCTGATACGTTCGATTCTTTTTAAAAGTGAGAACACGTGAAATGGAAAGGTAAAATAAAAGTTGAGGCAAGTCAAGCTGAGCATGGGTTTAAATCTAGGTTTATTATTTATTATTATCATTCTAGCCTACCTCCAAAGTGTTTAGAAAGTAAAATGGCATTATTTAAAAACAAATTATCTTCCATTTTGTTCTCACAGGAGGGATGGTGATAGTTATTTTATGATGATAGGGAAATCTAGCTGAGTAGATTGCTGTCAAGATTATGATTACTTTCTGCCCTCTCTTCAGGAAATTTTACCATGGATGGTAATGATCCTCTTGGGCAAGGAAAGCAGGTCCATTCAAAGAATCTTGTATGTTAATGAGTAAAGTTGTATAGTGATTATAATCTGCCTTTCTTGTTCTCTTACCTTTTTTTTAAAAACCCACCTTTTATCTGTCCAATGCCATCTAGTGGAGCTTTAGTGAGATGCAGACAATGTGTTCAACCTATCTAACTTGATGTTTACTTTTGAGATTTTTCTAGATAGATACTCATTTATTAGTGTGTTTTCTGTAACTTACATGGATAGTATTTTATGCTACATGCTCGCTGTGTGTGTGTGTGTCCGTGTCGCCTGAGGGATACATATTTGCCATATATGGCTGCACACCAATTTTAAAATAAATATAATTAATCTATCAAACATTGCATTATTTATTCATGTTAATAATTTTGTATTATTAGAAGAGATTCTCTAAACCTTTAGAAATATCTTCAGAAGTCTCTTCTTAATTATGCATGGCTAAACATGAAAATCATCCCTAGCTTTTCCTAGATGTCTCAAAGGTGCTTTTTCAAGAGGAAACTAGACTTTCTGGTTTTTCTTTGAAGACGTTTCGCTTATCATCCAAGAAGCTTTATCAGCTCTAGGGTTTTTTGCTAGGAAAAAAATTAACAACAAAATTGTTACACATTGTTTTATGTGTTTTGAATCACCAAAGTTCAGATTAAAATCTTGAAAAATTGTAAACTATCCTAAAGATAAAGGACAGACATCTAGTGTGCAGAATTGCTAAATATGAATGCAGGATGCATCTTGATGATTTGTTTGTAATTGTTCTTAGACAGTGGTGACTTCACACCTTTTGTGTGCTTAGTTACTATCCTTCCACTTTCAGTAAATTGTTTCACTTAATCTTGTAGTATTGCATAATTATTTTTCATCTGAGGAACTAGCAAAAACATCTTAATCTTTTTTGTATAACATTTAACTCTAATTTAAAATCCAAAAGGTTTCTCTCGTTGATAATATATAGCAAGATTTCAACAACAA